ATTGGGTAAATATCAATTTATTCATGCCTGCCTGAAAAGGTACGTTTAAGGAAAGCTATCATCTCTAAGGAATCTCTGAAATGATAAAGATCTGCAACAACACCATTTTGGTTTCGTGAATATGGGTCATAAATAGAATACTTTTGATGCCCAGTGCATAAGATTGCTATGTTTGAGCCAAACATTCGGAGAATAAAACTTTGGTTTGGATTATTTACAAATACAGAAGTTACCAGTGTCACTATATGAAAAATATCCAAATGAACCTTCTGCAAGAACTCGTTCACTTGCTTTTATACAATTTATGTTAATTTGACACTGAATTCTATCTGGTTTTTCATCATAATCGAATTTTGATTCATATCTGTAGAATGGCAAGCCTTTCTTCTGAAGAATATCTAAATGAATTCGATCACCTCGAACAAGAACATCGTCTATCAAATCAGAGTTCCAGTCCTGGAACTTGTGTCTAATATATCGAATCAGCACTATATCAGATTGTTTATAGACTTGTACTGATCAAAGAATTTTGATCCAAATTTGGTATTATAATCAACGTGCTTGCAAAAGCGTTATATCATACCCGATATAAATCGAATAGTTTATTTACTGGGACATTATATTGGTGCAACATCACTTTTACGTTTTAAAAGTTTGTATTTGTTCATTTCCATTGTCTTACCTTCATCCAAATTGTTCCTCTTTGTGTCATTATCTCGATTGAACACTTTCTACATTTGTGGTGGGAAATTCCCATCCAAGTACGAGTCTAAGAAAACTTTTGGTCTCGTTGGCTGCTGTAGGACACTCGAAGGAAGGAACATTGGATGCTGCAGCCGAGTTAAAGGAAGCTTATTATATTACATTGGGCGTCTCTGAGGAGGACCTTGGTGATACATAAGGTGCTGTAGGCGACTCTTAGGAAGCTCTTGTTGCTATGTTGGATGCTGTTGGTCAGTTTATGGAGCACATTGTTGTTACATTGGATGCTGTAGGCGGGACTGTGGAAGCCATTGACGCAATATCAGCGTCTGCAATGGAGACAACTGTCTTCCGTCTGTTTGTATGTAGCCAATTTTTCAAAATACTACTCCTACAGTTTTGATACAATTGTAAAATAACTTATACACTAAGATACATAATTATTCGGTTTTTGATTTCCAAGAACGGTGTTGCCGTGGTTACTAAAAATAAAATTCTTATCGTTGGTATTCAAATTGCTACTGAAATGAGAGTGTTGTTAATAAGTTTGTGAGTGATATGGTTTGGCCATGTCTCAAGGTTTTGATGACAGAGCGGAGTTGTATGGCTGACACTGCTAAGAGGGTGAAAGTTACTGGTTTCTCGTTGGCAAAGATATAACAGAACAATATGCGGTCATGGACTCTTGTCTAGGGAATGTCTCGCACATTGAGTTTCATATATGCCAAAGGAATAAACTCAGAGATTGTTAAGGTTTTGTTTAATCGAGGGCCGTTTTTGGTCACCTGAGTACTTTTGTATGTATTTAATAAAATAAATAAAATAATTATCAAACCTCTAACAAATTTTGAAAGTATCCAGAAGTCTCTGTCGAGACTGTAGCTCTACTGGTTTATACTTAAATCGAAGGAAGAGAAAAGTAGCAGTTGGGACTTGAAACTTTAAAACAGCAATAAATAGAAAAATGATACGTATGAACAATTTCTTAAACGAGGTAAATTATTGACAAGCAAGTTGATGAAACAAGAATATCAACAGTCTCGTTTAAAGTCATCATTTCGTAAATTCTATGGTCGATACAATGACCTTGTAAGCAAATACAATTTATCATTGAATGAAATACTGATTGACTTTTTTTCATACCAATTGTTAGTCCATTATTTATACACTGAATACTGCAAAATTTAAAATGATGAAACAATGTTGTATATATTTTTTAACTGTTTAAATTATACATTGTAACTGTTTATATATTTTTAAAGTTAGAGTCCGTCGGATAGGACGTTAAATGGAGCCCCGTGTCAAGGATAACAACCCCCTTGGCACGAAAAAGATCGTTTCTCTGGTTTTCGAAAAAGAGTAGGCTCATAGGCGGCCGCCAGAGAAACCCAAAAATTTCAAAAAAGATCAAACTTATTTTAATCGCCAAAATATGGCTGAAATACTGCCGACTCGGCGTAAAACAATAATAATCAATCAATCAATCATATACACTGAATTGACGACACATTTTTTCCGTTATTTCCTGATTATGACAACGAGCACACGGCGGGTGTGACCGGTCGGCAGGGGATGCTCACTCCTCCATGGCACCTGATCCAACCTCTGATGTCTTGGAGGTCCGTGTTTGGTCTGCTCTTATTTTGTATATTGTTTAATGGACGTTGAGATTGAATACTGTTCGTTATCTCCATATCTTTCCTTGCACAGAATTATGTATCTTAGTATCTAGTCTACTTGTGTGCCAAATTAATTTCTATTTTTAGTAACCATGGCAACATCGTTCATCGAAATCAAAAACTGATGCACAGAATGATGTATCTTACTGTAGTCTACTTGTGTTCCAAGTTATATTGAAATTGGACGAAAACTGTAGGAAGAGGAATATTTCGAAAGAATTTCACAGAAATTTCTATTTTTAGTTACCACGGCAACACCGTTCATCGAAATCAAATCCGATGCACAGAATTATGTATCTTAGTGTAGCATACCTGTGTGCCAAGTTGTATTGATATTGGACCAAAACTGTAGGAAGAGTAGCATTTTGAAAGAATTATACCGAAATTTCTATTTTTTGTAAACATGGCAACACCGTTCATCAAAATCAAAAACTGATGCACAGAATTATGTATCTTAGTTAAGTCTACTTGTGTGTCAAGTTATTTTGAAATCAGACAAAACTGTAGGAGGAGTAACATCTTGAAAGAATTTCACAGAAATTTCTATTTTTAGTATCCATGGCAACACCGTTCATCAATTCACAGATTGCAGATGGCTTCCTTAAAGTAACACTCGGCTGATGCATGATTTTGCCATTGCACCGATTGCATTTGCTAGACTGTTGTGTCTCAGACTTTTGTTTATAATTTCGATTATGGTTCAATTTGTTGACACTTAGTTGCTTGTCTCTGAGTTCATGTGCATCCTTTGATGCAGTTTCCATGGCCACTGATATCCCTATGGCTTTCTGCAGTGTGAGTGTTGTTCTGGATAACAATTGTCTCTGAATTTGTTCATTATTCAGTCCACACACTATTCTATCGCGGAGGGTGTCATTTAGATTGTCCCCGAACTAACAATGTTCAACCAGTTTTCGAAGTTTTGCAACGTATTCATTTACCGATTCGCCGTCCGTTTGTTGCCGCCGATTGAATGTGAACATCTCTGCAATTACAGATGGTTTTGGAGATAAATGGTCCATCAACAATTTTACAATGTCCGGAAAGTTTTTATCCGTCGGTTTTTCTGGACTGGTGAGATCACGTAACAATGAATATGTTTTACCTCCGATAAGGCTTAAAAGTGCTGGAACTTTCATATTGTTTTTGATTTTGTTTGCCTTGAAATACTGTTCAAGTCTTTCAACATATGAAGTCCATGTTTCAATACTGTCGTTGAACGGGTCGAATTTTTCCAATGTAGCATGTCATAATGATGTATCAACTGTTAATCACAGAAACTTAGCAATTTCAAACGAAATTTTCCATGGAATTATCAGTTATATTTTAAAACATCCTCGTCGCCAATTTGTTGTGTATGAATTAATACAAACACGTCTGTTCACATTGACTACATTTTATTAAGTGATATACATTAACATGCGTTAGCTACAACTCTAGAAATTCTCAGACTATCAAATAACAAGTTCTGCAGAGCCAGCGCTTTCAATATAAACAATTTAAGGTTAATCATATTGTACCACTTTAGAGAACTGAAGCAAATTTCGTAAAAATGTTATTGTTGTTTGTTTATTGCTAAAGAATTCGATAATTTTTCAATAAGTAGGAGAAGTCGCCATTCCCATGACGGTGCGATGGAGAGCTGCAAATTTTGTCCCATTCGGACCTTTTTTATTAATTTGGTGTCAGCCTCAGTTGCCCCAAAATCACTTTGTGCAAGTCTCGAAAAGTTACTTATGATTTGCTATGGATTAAAGGAAGTTGTCTTTAGAAAAATTTCCCTTTCCATCCTTATTCTGCATCTAAATGAAAAAAAAAACGTTATCAAATTAGTTAAGTATAATATAAAACGTGTCTGTAGTAGGAAATATTTGTACCACATAAATGTACATATTGCAACAGTAACTAAAACATACTAAGGAAAAGATTCAATGACCTTCTTTGATTCAAACATTTTGTTTTCCAGTGTTTTTAAATGCTTCTAGTGAGTAAGGCACCTATATTATATGAATGTTTTTTTTTTAAACATATAATATAAGTAATGGAAGACAGGGTTAACAGATAGATAAACATTCAGCTCATGAACTTTCAAAGCTGGCCTTAATTTGTTAGTTTGGTTGTTGAGTTGCAACTTCATTTGACAATTACAATTGCGGTTTGCATCTGAAAAAAGCAGTGTCGTCATGTTCTGTGTGACATTAATTTTCTTGATTACTCCGCCCTTCGTTAATTATTATTCGATCATCCTACAAACAGAAATGAACAACTGCAAATGTTATGATGTACAGTTACTTGACTTGTACATTTATGTGAAAATGCTGCCTCAAATTATTACCTGCTTAATGTATAAGATTTTGTTTTGTATGATAAAACAGACTTGTAAAAAAGGTTACTAGTACTACCACGATGCTCTTCCTACTTTCAAATAAATGAACTTTTTTATGGAATATGATTTTTGTGCTTTAGATGCTATGATACGTTGATTTTGCGAAATTCCGGTCTCGTGGTGATGCAGTGGGGATGTCCACAGCAGATGTTTGTCCGTGAATCAGAGAAAACCGTACATCTCCTACAACAACACCATGAGGCAACAGTTGTCCGAACAAAATTGACTAGTTTCTAGGTGGCACAGTGCCAGTACGTCAGGAAGCAGTGTCGCCGCAACTGATACCGATACTCTGGCACGCAGCTCCGTCTCTGGCATTGAGATAATGACGTTCTGAAATAACAATTTTATAATTTTCAATGAATGAATAATAACTATTATAATAATGAAAGGAATGCATCAAGTGTGAAATGTAGTTGTACGTCCTCTGGTCTTGTATAATTAATGTGTACCTGCAAACTCACGGCATGAGCCTGATGCTGGTCTCTGTTATTTTCTGGCCTTGCTCTTTCCTCCAGCCTTTGATTCAGGGGAAACTCCTATTGCATTTGTGGAACCTGGGTTGTGGAGGGTTTTCCTTCTGCTTCCTAAAACTGGCAGTTTGCATTCCTACAGCCCACCCTCCTGCATACAGAACTTTTGCACTGTCCTCTATTTTGGCATGCACAACGCATTTCGTTTTAGCTACAACGATACTGTCGTTATATAGGTAATGTATACATAAAATAGTGTAAAAAAGGGAATGAAGGATACATAAAATATTGTTAGCCCCATTCCTTACTAAAAGAAAAAAGAGGAAAACACATTATGTATATTAAAGTTGAATTTTACTAAAATAATTTTTTAAAAATAATAGCTATTAAAAGTGACATGTATGAAGACAAGACCCCTATAAAATCCGTCATTTGCAATGTACTTTCACTTTCTTTTTGGACAGAATAAACAGGGAAAACATCTTTTCAGAGGCTATCCAAGTTCAACTTGCCCTTCATTGATAAAAATATTTTGTTTCTGCGATGATGGTTTTCACCAAGACTAATTCGTCGTCATATTGTATTCCTTGTCCCACTCTAACAATTCGTCGTCATTTTGTATTCCTTGTCCCACTCTATTAATTCGTCGTCATATTGTATTCCTTGTCTCACTCTAACAATTAATTCGTCGTTATATTGTATTTCTTCCCCATGGGGATCCGGGTTAGAATAGGTCCTCAGTACCCCCTTGCTTGTCGTATAAGGCGACTAAATGGGGCGGTCCTTCCGATGAGACGGTAGAAACCGAGGCCCCGTGTCACAGCAGCTGTGGCACAATAAAGATCCCTCCCTGCTCAAAGGCCGAATATAGGCCTAAATTTGAAGCCCTTCAGCGGCAATGGCGACGTCTTCATATCAGTGAAATATTCTGGAGAGGGACGTTCAACAGTATACAATCAATCAATATCCAAAGTAATTTTCAGTAAAGCCACTGCTTGATATTCTTAGTTTTTCTAAAGAGACTCTGATACCCACCGAAGAACGCAGATTTAGAAGTTCATACCCTCGACAATTTTCTAACTGCGAAATTCTTCTCGCGAATGTCCTTGATAGAGACAGGGTTGTCATTTTAGGATAATGTAAAAATTGTTTAAAAAGAGGAAACTGTAAGCAGATAAATAGATTTTTAAAGTGAAAATACGGCGCATCTCTTCAAAAAGACTTTTTAGGTCACCTGAGTAAACTCGTGACCTATTGCTTTCTGTTTTTGACCTTCGTCGTCCGTCGTGTATAAACTGGATGCCAAGGGTTCCAAAAGTGAAAACATTTGAAATGAAAACATTTTAAAATTTATCAAAGTACGAATGTATGGAAAAACTTTTCATTGGTAGTTAACAAAACTCTCGTGATGAACGACTGTTTAGAACTCTGTGAAATTATATCTTTACTTTTTTTCCAACTACCATGCAAGTTTTTAAAGGAAACTTTTGTAATGTAAAGCATATTATTTGTAAGTTATTTCTGTAATTTTTAGAGTTTTTGTGTATCGTACAAAGTCAGTAATTATTTTATAAAGTTTTAAGTCGGAAAGGTTTTGAGAATTGATTAACTGTGTCAGATGTCCTAAAGGGTCTGTTGAACACCAGGCACCCATGGTCCTTGCATCCATCGTAACGGAAGTGATGGGAAGCAAGGGGAGGTAATATATAATACAAAGTCTTGCCGTCATGTTTTTTGTTCGCTTCTGATGGGCTGATCCTTCCACTTCTGAAATGCAGTGCTTTTTGGGGCCCTACAAACTTTCCTAATGATGCATGCTAGAAACTGCAATTATTGTGACATATTTGCCTTTGGAGAGTGGAGTGGAGGGTGAGGGATTATGTTCTAGCTGAGCAAGCTTCCTTCACCTCCTTTTCATTTCTATGCTTGTGTAAAAGATAAATTTGTATATTCGTCACCAATTTATTACAAAACATACAAGAATGCACGGCATCATAAAGTCTACCATGTTTTGAATTGCTTGAATTCTGTTCATATTTCTTCGAATAAATCTTTGTATTTTTCTCATCCAAAATATATTTGTAAATTTGAAAATTGAAATTTGGAAAATTTGTCACCAATTGAGCATGTCTGGGACATTCTGGTCGTCGTTTAAGGGGTCCCAACCCTCTGCTATAAATTTCACTTTAAAAAATTTAAATTTTGTAATATTGATTTTCATAAACAACCATAACATTAGAGCCACATGGAAAATAATTTGAATTATTAAAGCGCTGGTTATTTTTTTTTCAGAAATGATTTTTATGTTAGGTCATGATATGAAGAAATTTAACACAGAGAACAGAAAGATGCATATTGAAATAACGAACAGTACTCAATCTCAACGTCCATTAAACAATATACAAAATAATAGCAGAGTAAACACGGACCTCCGAAACATCAGAGGTGGGATCAGGTGCCATGGAGGAGTCTGCATCCCCTGCCGACCGGTCACACCCGCCGTGTGCTCGATGTCATAATCAGGAAATAACGGAAAAAATCCGTCGTCAATTCAGTGTATAAATGATGGACTTACAATTGGTATGAAAAACGTCAGTCAGCATTTCATTCAATGATTAATTGAATTTACTGACAAGGTCATTGTATCGACCATAGAATTTACGAAATGATGAATTTAAACGAGACTGTTGATATTCTTGTTTCATCAACTTGCTTGTCAATAATTTACCTCGTTTAAGAAATTCTTTATACGTAGAGCATGCTCTTGCGTATCGAATCAACTGAGATTAACGATTTATCATCACAAAATTCAACTTAATATATGAGGTGCATATGAAAATAATACTTAGTATCATACCTATTAAAATCATGTGAGAAAAAATGATGAAGCGATGCTTCCTAAGTCAGAAAATCACAATGTTGTATGTGGTTGTAAGAAAAAAATACATCTGTAAGGAGGAGTTATCTTTTCTTCTAAATATTTATTCATGTAAATAAATAATTCACACTAATACAAATGCTGTTTTAGGTACTTGAAACATTAAAGCATTTTTTAAATGGTCCTATAAAAGAAACAACTTATTCAATTCATAAGGCTTTTGATGTCGGATTTAAATTTTTTATTGTTGAATAAAATAAAACAATTTCAAAGAAATTGGCAAAAGAAATAGAAAGTATTGTTTCCAACTCATGTAAGATTTCATCGAATTGACTACTCAGAAATTTCGATTGGGAAACTCTGATTAAGAAAACTGTGAATAGTATTAATAGTTTTGTTCTTTGAAAGTTATCTCTCATAGCTTGAACATTTACGTCCCTGAGTTTGACCCACATTGTCTCATTACGTGGCCATTCTTACCACAGTAGCAACATTGAAAATTCTTCCTGCGGTTTTGTGCATTGTCACTCCGGTTTGTATCTGCTTTGAAATGAGTGCGAGAATCTAAGAACTCTGTCAACTTTGCAAACTCTTTTGATATTTGATGACTGACTTTCTTTAAAGGATTTTTCGATCGTCATGTGTTTACCTAATATTTGTACCGCATGAATAGTGTTGACTTGTTGCAAACCTAAATCAGGGTACTTTGTGACTCTTCAAATGATTCATACTCAACAGCAATTGATATTGCTTACTCTGGAGTTTTTGGATGATGAAATTGTACGTGCTTTTTAATTTCTTGAGTACCAAGCTCATACATGAATTGTCAATTGTGTAAATTACTTAAACATCGCAGGGATTCTAGGGAAAGCCAAATATCCCAATCTACGTAGAGCATACCCATAATCTGTCGTAGATTCATTTTTATCCTGCTTACGAATTCGAAATTCAGATCTAAAGGCGCATTGTTGACCTTTGGGATAGAACATTATTTCTAAAGCGAGTTTGATTTCGTCATTATTTTTGACATAATTAAAGTTAAAATCGCCAAGTGAGCGTTTCCCCTCTATGACATGTACCAGACATTGGCACTTCCCGGAATTATTAATTCCATCTGTGTTTACTATTGTTATGTGTGATCTCTTTGCTTTTTGTTGCATTATTAAACAAATCTTTTCACCTATTAATAGATGTTTTGATTAATTGATTGTATACTTTTACGTCCTTCTCCAGAATATTTCACTGATATGGAGACGTCACCATTGCCGGTGAAGGGTTGCAAATATAAGCCCATGCTCGACACTTACGGCCAGTCAGCAAGAAAGGATCTTTTTCGTGCCACACCTGCTGTGACACGGGGTCTCGGTTTATAAGGTCTAATCCGAAAGACGGCACTATTTAGTCACCTTTACAACAAGCAAGGGAGTACTGAGGACTTATTCTTACCCGGATCCCTTATGGGGTTATCTTTTGTTTTGAGTTTTCCTTCAATTGCCTGTCGGAGAGATTTGGCTGGTCGGGGTGTGAGTATTGTAACTCTTTGAAAAATGTTCACCCTACTCCCCAATACTCCCTGTCTGTTTTATGATAGGAATTATAATTTTAAGCATCAAGTAAGTTTTAGAACAATGTCTACACATTCATCTAACACATATTTAAAAAATGAAGATATATTGAAAGACTTTCATTTTTAGATCACCTGAGTCACTCAGGTGACCTATTGCAATCTGTTTTTGTTTGTCGTGGTCCGTCGTACGTAGTTATTCGTTCGTCGTCAAACGGTCGTAAACTTTTGAACATTTTCAGCTTCTTCTCTGCAACCACTCAACCAATTTCAACCAAATTTGGCACAAAGCATCTATGGGTGAAGGGGAACAAAAATAGTGAATTACAGGATCCCAGCCCCCTGGGGTCTGGGGGGTGGGGCCAAAACCACTAAAATTAATGCAATCTTTAAAAATCTTCTTCTTTACTCCTGGACATCAAACTGTTTGCATGATTGTAATCAGCATTGAGTCCTCTACCAAAACTGTGATATTCATGGCCCTGAGGTCAGGGGTTCTTGTGCTAGGGCGGGGCTAAATAAGTTTATAGTGAAAATGCATTATTTCTTTGAAAATCTTCTTCTCTGCTCCTGAATATTAAATAAACTAAGTAAAGAGTTATGATGAGCAAGAGTGCTTCTACCAAAATTGTGAATTTTATGGCCCCAGGGTAAGGGGTTCTGGTGTCAGGGCGGGCTTGCTCCTGTATATTAAATAAACTAAGTAAAAAGTAATGATGAGCAAGAGTGCCTCTACCAAAAATTGTGAATTTTATGGCCCCAGGGGCAGGGGTTCTGGTGTCAAGGCGGGCTTTTCTGATTTTATAGAGAAAATACATGAATTCTTTTAAAATATTCTTCTCTGCTCCTGGGTATTAAATAAACTAACGAAGTAAAGAGTTATGATGAGCAAGAGTGCCTCTACCAAAACTGTGAATTTTTTTATGGCTCCAGGGTCAGGGGTTCTGGTGTCAGGGCGGGGCTGTATTAATCATATAATGAAATATCATGAACTCTTTGAAAATCTTCTTCTCTGCTCCTATGTTTTATATAAACTAACTAAGGACATAATTACGATGAGCAAGAGTGCCTCTAGCAAAATTGTGAATTTTGTAGCCTCAGGGTCAGGGATTCTGGTGTAAGGGCGGGGCTGTATTGATTATACATGTAAAGAGAAAAGACATTAAATCTTTGAATATTTTCTTCTTTGCTCGTAGGTTTTAAGATGAACTACGTAGTTATGAGCAATCCCTAATCTTCAAGAATTGTAAATTTCAAGGCCACAGGGTCAGTTGTACCATAGAGGGGGACGGGGGACTATACTAATATACTGAAAATAAATGAATTGTTTAAAATGTGATCCTTGGTATTAATCAAATATTTTTGAAAAGCAAGGATACCTTTCCAAAATAGTGCAATGTGTGGATCTAGGCTTAAGAGTCAAGGGTTTATGTGTGGTAGGTGCACTACTTATTATAGCTGAATATTACTGATTAGTTGAAATGCATTTTCTGTTCCCCTACCCTGCCTATGGGCATAAAGTAAACAAACTAAGGAACTGCTAAATGTATAGTTATGATCACCAAATTGTAAATGCTATAGCATCTGGCTTAAAATATGGATCAAATTCAATCAATGGAAAGAAGTTGAATAATCTTCAGGTGACCTATAAAGCCCATGGGCCTCTTGTTAAAGTTTAAGTCCGTCGGATGGGACATTAAATGGTGCCCCGTGTCAGGGATAACAACCCCTTGGCACGCCAACGACCGTTTCTCTGGAGTTCGCAAAAGTTTAGGCTCATTGGGACCGCCAGAGAAACCAAACCAAAAACTTTCACAAAACCTTTCAATAAACAAACTTGTCCGCCGAAATATGGCTGAAATATTGCCGCCTCGGCGTTAAACAATATAAATCAATCAATCAACCCATATCCTTCTCCTCCATTACCTCTCTGTACCTTACTTGCAACTCATAAAATTGTATTGTAAGGGAAAGAATTATTGAAATAAATAACTTAATTATTATGCCCCCTTTCGAAGGGCATATTGCTGCTGTCAGTCATTCGGTCAGTCTGTCGGTCCATTTAGTTTCCGTTCATTTTCTTCATAACCGTTGCACATAATGAAATCAAATTTGATATACAGATATATCACATGAATATCTAGGCCAAGTTCTGTTTTCGGTACGAATGCACCATTTTTGACAGAGTTAGGCCCCTTGGACTTGGAAAAAATTTAATTATTATTTGCAGTTTCGATTCATTTTCATTGCAACCGTTGCACATGATATAATCAAATTTTGTATACAGATATACCACATAAATATCTAGGTCAAGTTCCGTTTTTGGTACGATCGCACCATTTTTGACAGAGTTTTGCCCCTTGGACTTACAAAGAGATTTCAATTTGAGGGAGGGGGATATAAGTGTTTTAAAAACATCTCTTGTATTTCTCTTGTATTTCTTAATTGATTGATGATTATAAAGGCTAATTAATGGTACACGATGAAGCTTTGAAAATATTCTTTTATTCACTTAAATATTTTATTTCGATGATCAATTATATGTAAAAATAGATTTAACAATGACTGTCATGTAATACTCTTTTTTGGTATAGCCATCTTCATGTTTGGATTGACGTGTGGAAAAGGCTGTGGTGAAACTTCGGAGACTAAGATGACCCTCCAACAACAAACCATAAAACCACTTCAACAGCTCAAAGTCAAATGCTATGGTAGGGTTTTTGGAGAAGATGGCCAGAGTTGGTGACGCACCAGTGTAACAACCTCTGGTTCACATCGGCGAAAAAGAATTGTCCTCTTGTGTTGTCGGCCTTCATCAGACCTGCCTACCCTTTTCATTACAAGGGTGTAATTTCTGTAAATTTTGGCGGAATTTCAGAGGTAAAAGTGTAATCAATTATGTTTTCCCATTTTGTTATTATACTATAATACTTTCTTTCAAAACGACCGAAATTGTACACTACTTAACAAAGCTGCCATAATGTTTCTTTTTCGAATAATCTACAATCAAAGAAAGTGTAATGAAATACTAGTATCCTATATTAAACTCAAATCAACCGCACACTCTGATGCATTTGGTCAATTTGTATCAAATTCCTTAATTGAAGGCTTTCGTTTGCATGTTTACACAAATTGCACATAATAACACTGTATTTTATTCTTTTTCATACTCGCATTTCTCTATCTTGCTCAAAGCAATGTTAAAATAAACCAAAATCGAGCATAGAAATGACTGTATGAAGGATATGGAAATAACGAACAGTATTCAATCTCAACGTCCATTAAACAAATATACAAAATAAGAGCAGAGCAAACACGGACCTCCGAAACATCAGAGGTGGGATCAGGTGCCATGGAGGAGTCTGCATCCCCTGCCGACCGGTCACACCCGCCGTGTGCTCGTTGTCATAATCAGGAAACAACGGAAAAAATCCGTGGTCAATTCAGTGTATAAATAATGGACTAACAATTGGTATGAAAAACGTCAGTCAGCATTTCATTCAATGATAAATTGTATTTGCTGACAAGGTCATTGTATCGACCATAGAATTTACGAAATGATGACTTTAAACGAGACTGTTGATATTCTTGTTTCATCAACTTGCTTGTCAATAATTTACCTCGTTTAAGAAATTGTTCATACGTAGAGCATGCTCTTGCGTATCGAATCAACTGAGATATAAATACTCCGTATGCAGGTGATGAAGGTATATTGCTGCATAAGTAAGGGAAGTTGACGATAGAAAAGTTAAAGACATCACGTTTATCATATAGCTTGGTTGTTAGATTACCATTAGTGTCTTTTTCAAGTAAAATATCCAAGTATGAAGCAGAAGTGTCGGACTCTGTGGTATCTTTTATCTCAAGCTCACCAGGATATATCGTGTCGACGTAGGAATGGAAATTATCATTATTAATTGACAATACGTCGTCGATATATCTAAATGTCGAGTTGAAGGCCACAGCAAGTGTTTTCTTCTTTTCACGCAAAAGATTTTGCATAAATTCTGCTTCATATGAATATAAAAATAAGTCTGCTAATAACGGAGCGCAATTTGTACCCATGGGAATTCCAATAGATTGTTGGAATACCTGGTCTCCAAAAACCACATAGATATTGTCAATCAGAAACTCAAGCATCTTCTTGATGTCAACTTCAGAGTACTTATGTGTGCAATCAGAATCTGTTTTAACAAAATTATTTTTCAAATGACCAATGACGAGGTAAGTAAACTTACGAGTTCCATTTTTGTTGAAGAAGCAGCTGTCAATGATATCAAAAAGCCTGGATTTTAATTTGTCGTGGGGAATTGTTGTGTATAAAGTTGAAAAGTCGTAAGTTTTTATGCTGTTGATTTTTGTAAAGTCTTGTGATTTCAAATTGTCTAAAAGTTCTTTAGAATTTTTAAGTATCCACATCTGATTTACACCACTTCTTGAATATATAGTTGTACAGTACTCTTGAAGTTTTTCCTTCACTACTGTCAATATTTTAGTGAGAAGTAACGAAAGAGGCTTGGTTGAACATTTACTGGAACCTGCAATGTATCTTTGTTTGTAAGGATTCTTATGAAGTTTCGGAATCCAATATATATAAGGTAGTTCAAATTCATTTTGGCTCTGTGGAATATTAAAAGTATTCAAAACTGACAGGTGATTTTGAAGAATGTATTTATTGCAATATCGTTTATTAGTTAACGTACAATGTAAGTAGTGCCTTCCTGTCTTTTTCCGAATCTTCGCCATACCAGTTTACATATAACTACTTGGTATATTACGTACGTTATAGAACTCGTCCTCTTTTTATTACTTTTACTAGAACTCCTCATTTAATTTCTGCAGGTCGTACTTTGACTTTAAATTTAGACTTTCATAATGGATTTTAAACTAAAATATCAAAAGCGTAATATTAATATAAGGGGCGTAATAGCGTAATTTTGTGGTCAAAAGCGGAAGAATTACGCCAAAAGCGGAAGGGTAGGCAGGTCTGCTTCATTAAAGTAGTAAATGTTGTGAGTTCAATGCAGAACAATGAAAAAGTATGCACCAATAAAATCATTAACTGGGACTTCATTATTATAATTATAATTATTCTTAAAGGGAATTACCTAAAAAAAATTCGCCACAGCCAAAGTTTTTGAGTAGAGACAGTCGCATTCCTGAGACTCTCTTCCAGGTAGGACTCTTGCAGTCGTATCCGAGATAGGTCTCATTCTGAGGATGAATAAAGAAAATATTCAGTTAAATAATGAACTTTTCCTAGTGATTTGCCAATATAAACTGATTGATGTAAGATACATTATATGTGGTTCTATACATTGGTATTTGATTGTGTAAAAATGTACCACCTTTTCGGTGTTTAAAATATAAAACCCATATACGGGTTTTTAAATTGTAAAACAGTATCAGCCGGAAATACGCCTCCGTATGATTTATGAATAAAATGATCTTCTGGCATTGCCTTCTGTAACTGCTTGTCATCCAATACTTGGTATCGATCTTACGCGCAGCGTTTATCCTTAAAACGGAAGGAAAATGCGCATAATTTCGTTTACAAAAACTTTTTTTTAGAATATCATTTTCAGTTTCAATTCTTTAGTAAACTTAGGTGACCTATTGCTATCTGTTTTCGTCCGTCGTCGTTCGTCGTGCGTTAACATTTGAACATTTTCAGCTTCTTCTCTGCAACCACTGAACCAATTTCAACCAAATTTGGCACAAAGCATCTATAGGTGAAGGGGAACAAAAATTGTGAATTTCATGATCCCTGCCCCCCTGGGGCCTGAGGGGTGGGGCCAAAACCACTAAAATTAAGGCAATCTTTAAAAATCTTCTTCTTTACTCCTGGACATTAAGCAATCGAACTGTTTGCATGATTGTAATCAGCAATGAGTCCTCTAACAAAATTGTGAAATTCATGGCCCTGGGGTCAGGGGTTCTAGTGCTAGGGCGGTGCTAAATAAGTAGGTAGTGAAAATGCATTATTTCTTTGAAAATCTTCTTCTCTGCTCCTGGGTATTAAATAAACTAACTAAGTACATAGTTATGATGAGCAAGAGTGCCTCTATCAAAATTGTGAATTTTATGGCCCCAGGGTCAGGGGTTCTTGTTTTAGGGTGGGGCTTTAATGATTATATAGTGAATTGCATGAATTCTTTGAACATCTTATCCTTTGCTCCTGGTTAATATGCTAATGATCTAATTACATATTTAAGGCCAGGATTTGTTTTATTTTTAGTTGTACAAAGCCTCCGCTCAAGGTTTTGAATTTTAAGAAAAAAAATAAAATAATTTTTTTCCTTTCCGATGTCAAATATGAGTCGGGATCGAGATTTCAAATTTACGAACTCGTCCTTCCGGTTTAAAGATGAAACGGCGGGTAAAAAAAGCTAAGTGTAAAATTCACCGATACGAGTGCCATTCAAAACGTTTTGTCGTTCAACGGACAAATAAAATGCTGAAGACTTTGTTGCACAATGACATGCTGGTGAGATAATTATGTATTCGTTTCAAAAGTATCTGTCTGTAAATCATTTTCCTCCCCCAGGTTTTAAACTGCCCGTGGTAGCTATTGCATATTGCCAGCGACATTGTTTAGGTCTCTGTTATAGCTTACAGTCTAAGCATCATTCTTCAGAAAAGGGTTGCTTATGCATCAGATGTAATGAATAAAACTATGGGAGAAGTTAAGTCCACTTGAGGAAGAAATGAACAATAAGTAACTGAAGAAATAAAAAAAAATTCAACTATTGAAAGGCAAGAATATACAAATATATACAGGCATGTAGTATCATTTGTATCAGCCAGAGTAATTATTTTACACTTAATTGAGAAAACGTTCCCCCTACTCCCCAATACTGCCTGTCTGTTTTATGATAATAATAATAATTTTAGGCATCAGGTAAATTTTAGAACAATGTCTACACATTCATCTAACACATATTAAAAAAAAATGAAGATAAATTGAAAGACTTTTAAAGAATTGATTTTTAAAACATATTTTGACCAACACCACAAAATTTATATAACTGGCCCAAACTGGCAGATGATGAAATAAGCAATTAAAAGTTCTTCTTTCCTATTTGAAAGCATTATGTGTCCAGTGGTAAGGAGCCTATTAGAATAGCATAAAAAAAAGAATGTACAAATGTTAATGATTGATTTATCAATTTTTTTTTAATTTCCTTCTCCTTTGGGACTTTTTTTAATTCTCATGTTTTTAACTAAACCTAAACATAAAAAAATGCTGGCCTTATAATGAAGAGTCAGAGGGGCCTCTTTCAAAAATAGATAATTTCAGGGCGACTGGGTCAGGGGTACCATGGGGGTACTTTGACAAAAAATAAATTAATATTTTGAAATATGCCCTTTGATAAGCAATGGTGCCTCTTTCAAAATTTGTGAATTTCATGGCTTGTGGATTAAAACAAGAACCAAATACAATCGCTGGAAAGTTGTTACATGATACTCAGTTGACCTATAAGGCCCGTGGGCCTCTTGTTTTGTATCATAATTGGTATCAAAATAATTGACTTTTTACGATGAATCATAATTTTTAATTTGTTATATGCTTGCGTTAAATTTAATTTTTTTTTTTAAATAATTGATCATTAATATCTGTTAGTTTACGTTGTGTTTGTATAGTTTCCTGTTAGTTAACTGGGGACGGGGGGACACCTAATTAAGGTCTATTGTCTGATCAGTCAGTTTACTGTACACTGATCATCTGTTAATCTTACCCCGTTTCTCAATGTGTATACATCTGGTCGGATGTCATGTTTAGTCTGATCGGCCGTTCCTCTGAAAATCGATTTTGAAATAACATTCACGCAGTACTGTTAAGGCTACCCGGAGCTTAAAATGCATTTAAAACGTAACACTGCATTGCCAAGTTAATTTTTAGTTTTATTTTTAAGTTATCTACTTCAGTGCGCCTAAATATATAAACATATTTGTTCCGATGTCACATTGTGATCTTGTTGATCACGTGACGGTCATTACCGGCCGCCAGGAGGCGGTCGGTTATATGATATGAAAGTTTTAAGTCGCTGTGCGTTTCTGCGGAGTTTACAATTTAAATAAAAATATTCAACATTCATCATGTTCATATCGCTGGCGAGTCAATATTAAACAAAGATTGTCTAAATGTTTAGAAAAAGCACATTAATCGTAAAATTAAAGTTTTATAAATAATGGGGTTAATATTTCATCCAATCCTGATTGACAAACTCTGATATAACTGTCAAAGTGCGGAGGAAATTGGTATGAGTCTTAAGCATAGTCTATTTAACAAAGACCGCGTTGTAAATCAACAATTTTACTTTCTCTTTTAAAAACAGGATCTGCTGTATTTATTTGAAATGAAGTGTATAATCAAACATTTCCTATAGATGTTTTTCAAAAATATGATGAAATATCGATTTCTTACAAGCAAAGAATATTACGACATGTTCGTCCAGGATACTTGGATAGAGCGCGTTTTACAATGTGCCAAACACTTTCCCGCCACATTTCAACACTAAAACAAAGAGATTGAATGAAAGAGAAGTAATGTAGTGGAGGATCTAGAAGGAGTTCGGGGGGGGGGGGGGGGGAGTTAAAAACCACTTATAGAGAGAGCGAGGAGCCCCACATATTATATATTTGTTGCGTTTTTATTAAGGTAAAACTATAGATAAGTTTACACTTTAGTTTTGTACGTTTTATGTAAAAACTACTCAAACAGCAAACTCACAATTAATTAAGAGTTCGTTAAGTTGTACCAAACTGAGTACAGAGACGCAGAGGACTATGCATAGTTTATGTTGCATATACATGTAATATTGTCGCATGCATTTTTTTTTCGTGTCACGAGGATATTTTAACAGAAAAATATAAGAAATTTAAAAAAAAACAGCGAATTTCAGTTTCTAAAATAATTTAAACAGTTACCGGTATATAAAATGGTTTGCGGCCGAATTTTGACGCTTGCGTCAATATGTTTCTTGTTTCTTCTTATGCGTATCAATTTCTGCGTAATAATTTAATTTTTGAATTTGTGAATTTTGCAGTGGTTATCTTAGACTCTTTACTAAAACTGTACGGATTTTATTGTTTTTATTTGTTGTAATTACTATTGTTTTTTCAGAACTAAAACAAGTTAAAATCGTATGAGTAAGTTATTTACCACAAATGTTGAGGGTGTGGAATTATAGATTCGTTGACCCTTGAACTCGTTTGCCGCCTTGATATTATAAATGAAGTATGTATGATTTGCAGTTATAAAGGACTGTTCTGCCCTCTCCCCCCAAAGGGTTAAGAGGGCAGAACGGCCCTCTAATGCTATTTGAACTTCTTTCCGCATGCTCGTGCTAGTTTTGGATACTTCTCCAATCTGCAAAATTGTAACGTGTGCAAAATTATGTAGTCGTTTATTTCAAAAGAGTTGGTCGTATATAAAACTTCAATGATAATTTTAACTGATTTTTTTTCGTTTTGCCGTGTAAATAATTTTTTTTAAATATTAAAAATATATATAAAATAGATATATAGTAAAAACATAAATGAACATACATGCTGGACAACAACGGGTCCTAGAGAAATTCTCTCGTACAATGCGACGGAGGCAGCCTCTGTCATTGTCAGAATTCTTGGTGTTAAAAACCCAGTCTTAGTTGCCTCTTCCTTCTCAATAATCTTCCAATTTGTATCCATGACCTTTTTATATAGATAGTTGTATTGTTTTTTTGTGTGTGAGGATGTGTGTGTAAGGGTGTGTGTGTGTGTAGCTGCTGTTAATTTCATGTATAGCACGATTCTACATATAATAATAACAACAGTATTTTGTATTTTTTTGTATAAATTCAAGATTTTTTTTCTCTTTTTATTACATGTAGGTACATTAGTTCAAATCTTAGATTGAACTATTCGCACTGCTTTTTAGGTCACCTGAGTAACTCAGGTGACCTATTGCTATCCGTTTTCGTCCGTCGTCGTGCGTCGTGTGTTAACATTTGAACATTTTCAGCTTCTTCTCTGAAACCACTGAACCAATTTCAACCAAATTTGGTATACAGCATCTATGGATGGAGGGGAACAAAAATTCTGAATTTCATGGTCCCCGCCTGGGGCCTGAAAGGTGGGGCCAAAACCACTAAATTTATTGCAATCTTTAAAAATCTTCTTCTTTACTCCTGTACATCAAGCAGGCAAACTGTTGGCATGAATGTAATGAGCATTGAGTCCTCTACCAAAATTGTGAAATTCATGGCCCCAGGGTCAGGGGTTCTAGTGCTAGGGCGGGACTCTATAGATTATATAGTGAAAATGCATTATTTCTTTGAAAATCTTCTTCTCTGCTCCTGGGTATTATATAAGCACATAGTTATGATGAGCAAGAGTGCCTCTTCAAGATTTGTGAATTTTATGGCCCCAGGGTCAGCGGTTCTGTTGTTAGGGCGGGGCTCTATAGATTACATAGTGAAAATGCATTTATTCTTTGAAAATCTTTTTCTCTGCTCCTGGGTATTAAATAAACTAAGCACATAGTTATGATGAGCAAGACTGCCTCTTCAAGATTTGTGAATTTTATGGCCCCAGAGTTAGGGGTTCTGGTGTTAGGGCGGGGCTTTAAAGATTATATAGTGAAAATGCATTATTTCTTTGAAAATCTTCTTCTCTGCTCCTTGGTATTAAATAAACTAACTAAGCACATAGTTATAATGTGCAAGAGTGCCTATTCCAGATTTGTGAATTTTATGGCCCCAGGGTCAGCGGTTCTGGTGTTAGAGGGGGGGGGGGGGGCTCTATAGATTACATAGTGAAAATGCATTATTTCGTTGAAAATCTTCTGCTCTGCTCCTGGGTATTAAATAAACTAACTAAGCACATAGTTATGGTGAGCAAAAGTACCTCGTCAAGATTTGTGAATTTTATGGCCCCCGCTTCAGGGGTTCTGGTGTTAGGGCGGGGCTCTATAGATTACATAGTGAAAATGCATTATTTCTTTGAAAATTTTCTGCTCTGCTCTGCTCCTGGGTATTAAATAAACTAACTAAGCACATAGTTATGATGAGCAAGAGTGCCTCTTCCAAAATTAAGAATTTTAAGGCCTCAGGAATAAGGGTTCTTGTGCTAGGGCGGGGCTCTATTGATTATATAGTAAAAATAAATTCTTTGAAAATATTTTCCTTTGCTTCTGGGTTTTATGCCAATTATCCAAGTATATATATATTTATGATGAAGAAAGGTGCTTCTATCAAAGTGGTTTTTTATGCCCCCAGGGTCAGAGAGGGGGGGGGGGGTACATAGTCTGAAAATAAATTAATGCTTTGAAATCTGCTCTTTTGTATTAATCAACCATTTTATGATAACATTTGCAGAATCTTGAAATATCTGGCCCATGGGTCAGTGGTTCCTTTAGGGTGAGGTGCACAACTGGGTAAAAAGTGGTAGTGCATTTTCTCTTTGTTACTCTGATCTGCCTATGGGTATTAAATAAATAGAGTAAGCATGCTAAGTTGATAATTATGATAAGCAAGGGTGCCTCTTTCAAAAATTGTAAGGAAAGATATGGAGCAAGTTCTGATGCTAAAGCATTAAAAAAGGACACAGTGAGGAAAAAGAGGTTAGCAAAACATACCAAATTAGAAAATGAGGAGGAAATCATCAGATTATTTAGAGAGAATGCAATGAAAGGCATTGATTACACATGTTGTTGTTGTCATCGGTTGCTGTTTGAAAACCAAGTACAGAAATGCAATCGTCAGTTGTATCAAAAGAACAAGCAGATCTGTGCATAAGTGAAAAGTATTATCATGAGTGTACAAACACCTGTCCAAAAGAATGCACTATGTCGACACTGTGGATCTGCTTTACATGCCATAGGAAGGTGGTTAGTGGAAATATTCCAGCTGAGGCAGCTGCAAATAAGATGGCTCTTGAAGATATTCCTAAAGAGTTAGAAAATTTAAACAGCTTAGAGCGACATTTGATTGCATTACATATACCTTTCATAAGAATTAAGGCACTTCCTCATGGTGGTCAAAGGAATGTACACGGCCCTGTTGTATGTGTACCCTCAGACATGCAAAAAACAGCAAATTTACCTTTAAAAGAAGGTGAGGATTTATTGTTGCGAGTGAAGCTTAAAAGAAAGTTGAGTTACAAAGGTTACATTGAATACCAGTTTGTTAACCCAAAACACATATTTGCTGCCTTGGATTACCTGAAGAGAAACAATCAGTGGTATGAAAATGTTAAAATAGATTCAAACTGGGATGCAGACAATGAAATTAAGGAAGGACATGTGAAAGATATTGACGAGGTGGCAATAGATGATACGGTAGATGAACATCAACACATTGCCATTGATACTTGCTTACAACCTGTGGATATTGCTCAGGAGGTTCTAGATCATTACTTTGATGATGTTTACAATATTGCTCCTGGTGAAGGGAAGAACCCAGTGAGAATGTTGCAGGAACCTGGAAATGAAGCTAAGTCTTTCCCATACCATTTTCCAAGTGGAAAGTTTTCCTGGAATGATGACAGAACAACAAGAATAACACTTTCAAGATATTTCAATAACAGATTAATGAATGCAGATGACAGGTTTGCAAAAGACAGCAATTATATTTTCTTCAGCCAATATATGTCGGAATTGAATCAAGTAATAGAGAAGACACAGATTTCTGTTCGAAAGTCCTTGACAAGTATTGGAAGTGAAAGGTCAGTAACGTCAAACATGATACAAGATCCAGAAATCCTTTCAAAATTATTGAGAAATGATGAAGCATTAAGGTTTATGCAGCCGATACGTGGAACACCATCATTTTGGTCAGCTGCCCAAAAAGACCTCTTTGCTATGCTACGTCAGCTAGGAATACCTACCTGGTTTTGTTCATTTTCTGCTGCTGAGCATAGATGGAATGATGCAGTTACAACTATCTTGCGACAAAAGAATGATGCTAGAGACCCAAAACTGTTAGATTGGTCTGAGAAGAATGAGGTATTGAGGAGTAATCCAGTTACAGTTGCTAGGGTGTTTGAGCACAGATTTCATGTTTTCCAGAGAGATGTTATTAGTTCTCCATCAGAACCCATAGGAAAAGTTGTAGATTTCTTCCAAAGAGTTGAATTCCAGCAAAGAGGATCACCTCATATGCATTGCTTGTACTGGATTGAAAATGCTCCTAAACTTAATGAACATGGAAAAGAAGAAGTATGCAAATTCATCGATAAATATGTATCTTGTGCATTGCCTTCTGAGAGCGTGGATCCTGAATTGCGAAACATTGTGTTGGCAGTACAACAGCATAGCAAGAAACATTCAAAATCTTGTCGAAAAAAAGGAACAGAATGTAGGTTCAACTTTCCTCGACCTCCATCTCAACGCACATTTATTAGTTCACCACATGATGATGATGAAACAACTAATGAAAAAGATGACACAAAAACCAGGAACTTCAAATCCATTTCGAAAGAAATTTTAATGCATGTTTGGAATGAAGTACAAAGTGAGTTGAATGAGTCAAAATCAACAGAGGAAATTTTCAGTGGTTTATCTTTGACTCAAGAGCAGTATGAAGAAGCATATAACATGCTGACAAAAAAGAGCTCCATTATTTTAGAAAGAAATCCAAGTGAGATATGGATTAATCAATACAACCCATGTCTTTTGAAATGCTGGGATGCTAATATGGATATACAATTTGTATTGGATCCATTTAGTTGCATTGTCTACATTATTTCATATATCTCAAAGTCAGAGAGAGAAATGGGGCTATTATTAAAGCAAACAAAAGTGGTGGCAGAAGAGGGAAATTTAAATGCACGCGAGACCTTGAAAAAAATAGGATCAGCATATCTGAATCACAGGGAAGTCAGTGCACAGGAAGCAGTGTATCGAGTTTGTAATTTGAAAATGAAAGAATGTTCCAGGAAGGTTGTGTTTATACCTGTGGGTGAGAACCCTACTCGTTTAAGTAAGCCACTTTCTGTTCTGAAAAATAGAAGTAAAAAGATAGACCAATGTGAGATTCAGAATGAAGATGACGACGATGATGATGAAGATACTTGGATGACAAATATAGTAGAAAGATATGAAAATCGACCAACCAAACCAGTTTTCCATGATATGTGCTTGGCCGAATTTTGTTCTGAATACAGAGTGTTGGCAAAGTCTCAAATCCCCAAAAATGAGAACGAAAATGTATTTGAGCTTCAGAATTCAAAGGGATACATTCAGAAACGAACAAGAACTATGCCTGCTGTTGTAAGATACCCAAGGTTTAGTGCCGAAAAAACACCTGAGAAATATTATCAGTCAAAGCTCCAACTTTTTTTACCACACTGGAACAAGGAACAACTTAAACCTCCTGGTTTTGACTTGTTTGAGGCATTTTATGAAAATGGCCATGTTAAAATAAAAGGAAGACCAAATGTGCAGTCAGTGAAATCACTTGTAGACATAAATCATGCAAAATTTGCTGATAATGAAGATGCAATAGCACAAGCTCAAGAGACATTTGAAAGCATTGGTGAACCTGAAGATGCATGGGCAAGTCTCTGTTCCGAGACAGAATTGATGCGACAAGAATGTTCTTCTAAGAAAAACAAGTTGTATGATGCACAAGAACATGTATTGGAAACAATTCCTGAAATGCAAAATGAAACAAATTTCTCTGATGTTTTGTACCAAATTCAGCAGAATAACATTGCAAGGGATGAGATATCACCAGTCCTACAAACACTAAATGAAATGCAGAAGGAAGTGTTTTACTATATACGTGACTGGTGTTTAAAGAAAATTGCAGAGGAAAATCCAGACCCATTACATATTTTTATCACGGGAGGAGCTGGTACAGGGAAAAGTCAACTCATCAAAGCTATTCATTATGAGGCAACACGACTGTTTTCTAGAACTTTGTCATCACCAGAAAGTTTAGCAGTACTTTTAACAGCCTTTACTGGAACGGCTGCCTTTAACATTGGAGGAAACACTATCCATCACTTGTTTTCTCTAACAAAGTATTTGCCCTTGCCATATGAACCATTGAAAGAACAGAAACTTAGTGAAATCCGAGTGCAATTGAGAGAATTACAGATTTTAGTGATAGATGAAGTATCAATGGTATACAAGAAACTTTTGTATTACATTCATGAAAGACTTGTGCAAATTAAGAAGTGCAAAGAACCATTTGGTGGCATAAGTGTAATTGCTGTTGGTGATTTTTATCAACTTCCTCCTGTTAAGCAACGGAAAAATGAAAGGCTCTACTTGGAAAATGGTTCATATCCTGTTGATTATTGGCGGGACTTTTTTAAGGTTGTTGAACTTAAAGAAATTATGAGGCAACGCAAGGATATGCCCTTTGCAACAGCTTTAAATTCTTTGCGAACTCGAGATGTAGATCAGCCATTAGATAGTGAAACACAGTGTATGATACATGATTGTATCAGAGATGGACCTGAAGATGTTCTTCATGTGTACCCGACAAACGACGAAGTAAACAGCTATAACCTTACAATGCTGAAAAAAAGTTGTGAAGATCTTGTAGAGATTGAAGCTCATGACTTCCAGAAAGACAAAACAACAGGAAAATTAGTCTTGAGAGAAAAACCTATCATACGTTCAAAAACAGATGGTCTGAGCAGCTCTTTGGTCTTAGCTGTGAAAGCAAGAGTCATGCTTACAAGAAACTGTAATGTTGAGGATGGATTGGTTAATGGTGTTATGGGATACATATCGCATTTTATGTTCAGGAGTAAAAATCTATCCAAAGAAATTGTGGGTGTAGGAGTGATTTTTGACAATCAAAATGTTGGGAAAAAGTGTGCAAAAAGAATGGAGAAAGGATCTGTTGTTATGATTGAGAGAGTTCAAGAAGAAATATTTGAAAAGAAATCAAAAACTATTGTTAGACACCAATTCCCTTTGCGATTGTCTTGGGCATGTACAGCTCATAAAGTTCAAGGAATGACAGCAGACAAAGTTGTGGTCAACTTAGATCGGACCTTCTCTCCAGGACAGGCATATGTTGCATTGACAAGAGTAACAAGTAAGGAAGGCTTATTCATTGAAACAGACAATGAACATGCATTACAGAAAAAAAATATGCAGATTCGGATGTGAAATCAGCTATATGTAAGATGCCCAGAGTAGCATTTCCGATTTTATTTACGATTCCCTCATTGAAATCTATCAGCATTATTCTTCACAACATTCAGAGTATGCATAGACATTTCTTAGACTTCTGCAATGACAAGCGATTTAAGGAGGCAGAACTGATTTGTTTGACAGAAACTTGGTTGAAATCTGGACAAAGTGTGGCCAGTCTTGACGTTGAAGGTTTTCGATTTCACCATGTACCTAGAGGAGAAGTATATGATGACAGCAGTTCTGAAATGCAGAAAATGCGACTCTCAAATGGTGGAGGAGTGGCATTATACGTCAAAGAAAATGAAAAGCACAGAATGGTTATTCCACTTCCAGAAAAAAACATTGAAGGAATTGCAGTGCAACTTATTCAGGAAGACATGGTTTTGGTAACTTTATATCGTCCATGTGCTTTAAGTGTGAGCAACTTTCTTGACAGTCTCCTAAGAGTAATAGCATATTGCAGGATACGCAACAAGCATATTATTTTTGTGGGAGATTTTAATGAGGATGCAAAATGTGGAGGTCCAATCCAAACATTTATGAGCGATCAAGGTTTCCAACAACTTGTCAAGTTCTGCACCACAGAAGGGATGACAATATTGGACCATGTTTATGTATCCAGCTTTATAAAAGCAGATGTGAGGAGGATGTCTACATATTACAGTTATCATGATGCTTTGATTGTGACCATATCACACGGCTGATAGATTACACAATACCATAACACAGATCTGATATAAAGCTTGCAAAAAAATACATTAAAGGTACCAGTGTGCCAAACTTCAAGAACTCAATTTTCTTGGAAATATTTCCATATATTAAAAAAAATTGTTTTGATCTTTTATTTTTCCTGAATGAAGGGCCTTGAATCCATCCTCTAATGAATTGTACAATCTAGCACTTTTAGTTTTATTTCTTTATTTGAAGCCTGTAAGTATCCTGTATATTTAGATAAAGCCTTAAAATTGTAAATTTAGGTAATAGCCTCCATTTTACATAAAACATTCTGAGAACAAGATGATTATAAACCAATTAGAACCTGAAGGTATTCAAATGCAGTACATATTTTCAATTTTAATTTAATTTGTACTGGCGTATTTGGAATTCAACAAAGGAAATTGTAAAACATTCATAAAAGATGTGTTTGTAAAACACTATGCACCTGGCGGCAACAAAGTTCAAAAAAGCTATTTTTAACCTGTAGGCCACAGTCAAGGTCACAAGGTAATTGACCATGCTGTCATTTCAGAATCAGAATCAGAAAATTTTATTTTGAGTCGAATAGTTTTAACAGAAACATAAGCTCTGTAGAGCTTTTGACCGACATTATATTAGTACTACATATCATAAATGACTATATACACATATAAAACAGTTAGGATTACACTGTCATGCATAACAACAAGCATATTTACACATACACACACAAGTATCATTTGTCAAAATTTGACAAAGGTCAAAAATAATAATGCAGTGCATCTTTCAAGTCTTTAAAGGATCTAAAGTTATGGTCTGGTCTTGTTTTTTCTTAATTTAACCTTGAATGAAGAAAGTGGTCAAGATCAAGTAATCTGATGTAGTGTATTTAGGCTTAATGTTGTCTTTACTTTTTTCCAATTTTAAAATCCCAAAGTCAAGAAAGGTCAGAAGCTATGACTTAGGATATATAATTTGATCAACGTCAAAAATTTTGATCACAAAGACTCTATATCTATGTGTCCTCTGCATGTTCCAAGTTTGAAGTCTAAATGTCACAGGGTTCTCAAATTATGGTCAAATCATGTTCTTCTCTATTTGACCTTGAAGAAAGAAAAGGATCAGGTCAAAGTCCTGATACACTACATCTTGAATATTTAATTTCTTCTTTCTATGTTACAAGTTGGAAGACCTAATATTAAAGGATACTGAAGCTATTGCCAAAACTTTATTTTACTGTAAAAGTTTGAACTTGACCTTATGAATAAATCAAGTTCAAAAATTTTAGTGGCATACACTCCGTCTTAAGATCATCTATGTGTCAAGTATGAAGTCTTTAGGTCAAAGGCCATTCAAGTCACTGCCTGAACAATTTTTGGATGAAGAAGAAGAAAATTGACAAAAACAATATGTCTACCTTCGGAAGAGGAGACATAAATATCATCTCAATGTCTGCAAACATTTAGAAAAAAGTGCAAAAAACCAAGTGGGACAGACTGACAGACAGTAGGAGAAAGAGGGACAGTCATACGGACATCGCATAGGAAACCTACAGTTCCCTCTGGTTTCATCGGTAGGGGACCAATAAATGTATGTAGGAAATCCAATGCTTTATGGGAAGCCTGGTTTGACAAGTTTTTAAAAACATGTGGGGAGGGGGCAAAATATGGAGGATTAAGTACCAGGTTTAGTGAAAGTGACCTTAATATTATCATGTTTTTTTTATATGAAACTAGAAATATAACCATAAGACATGGATGCCACACGTTGGGTATTTAGTAATGCAACATGGAAAATTGTATTTTAGTGTATATGACATTTTATGAAAATATGTTGAACAGTTTCTTTAAAATCAAATTCTATAGACAATATATAATGAAGTCATTTTATGATTCAGCAATATTTCAGCCATATTTCCAGATCCAATCGAAGATTAATTCTCACCAAATTATGTTTCAGTGCTGAAGATTTCAAAAATATGATATATTCTTTAAAAGAGAGCAAAATGTAAATTTCAGAAAAGTGAGGTCAAGGTCATAACATGCATATGGTCAAATATTTGATGCAGTTAAATAGCTCTTACTGAATAATCTTCATTTACCAGAATATTAAGTTTGATAAAATTATCTTAAATGATTAATTCAAAACCGAGGTAAACATTAATTCAAGAAAAGTGAGACCAAAGGAAAGGTCAAGGTCAATAATGTTTATGCAGATAATATTGAATTGCTTAATTCTTGAGCTAATTAAACATTAATTTAAAAAGTGAAGTTAAGGTCAAAGGAAAGGTCAAGGTAAAAAAATGCTCATGCTGTTAAACAGCTCTCGTCAATGGGTTTCATATCATATGGATCTTGATAAACTGATCTTGAAAGTTGAATGGTTTCTCTGAAACTGAGCTATACACGCAGAGCGCGACAGAAGGACAAAGGAACAAAGATGGTTGAAAAGAATTGTTAATGTACATACCATTTTTATGGTCAGTGATGTAATATATAAGTTATTTTTTAATTTGATTGTAAATGTTCATGAACTATTCTGGAGGTTTAACAGGAAATTTGACGTGAAGTTTAATTTTAGATTGTGTAATAAACAAATCATAATATTCCGGATTGCAGTGGTGTATTTTTATTGGAATTTATCATTATTTATTTCTTAAATATAATCTGTATTATATTTTTTGGATTAGCGGATCTAAATGTACATTCTCAAAGAGAAAAGAAACATTTTTAAGATATGAACCAATTATTCACCTTGATGACACATGCTCTGTACCATCAGCCCCTCTGAGAGGAATGAACGAGAACTCTGCAAGAAGGAGATTGGATCGATGAATCAAATGAGCCATTACTGCTGATTATAAAACTAATACGATGCTTATCCCCAACTGTTAAATTTGATTATGATTAAAAAAAAACAGAAGTTATAGTTACGTGTATCAGGAAGAAATATGGGCTGGTTCTGTAACTCATTTAAGGTATTCAATGTTCTGAGATCAAGAATTACTAAGTATTGATAAACTAAACTACAATAAAGAGATTTTAAACGTTTTTTAATAATCTTAAACTAGCTAAAAACATTGCTAGATAACGATAGAAGGGAAATGAAGAAAATTCACAAGGCTGCTAACATGTAAGAAGGCGACCATTTTGCACATTAAAAGTTTATGAAGAGTTATTTGCCCTTGATTAAAAGAAGAATTGTTTGGATTTCCCAAAATTTCTGCGGTAAATACTTCATTTCATGATTTAAAAAAGAGGGAGTTAATGCATATAATTGGCGTCGGAAGCAAATTGAAAGGGGGGGGGGGGGCTAAGGAAATGTCCAATTCCCAAACACAAGATCCTATTTCTTGGGGGTAGGGGGGTGGGGTTTAGGTTCGAACTTCAGTACAAATGTACCAAAAATGTCTTCCCAAACACCACCACCATTTTTAACCTATACTTCGAGGTGCCAGTGGAAAGTGTGTGTGTGTGGGGGGGGCTAAACCTACGCAGCAATGTTCAATGTCTATACTAGGTATATATTTGGTAAAAAGTGCTAAGCCCCCCCCCCTCCTCAACGGTACCGACGCCTATGCATATTTTCACCAAGAAGATGTGTTTTAAATTCAAATCACTTTTTACAATATCTTATAGAAACATGCGCTGTCCATAGACTTTAATGTAAAATTCAACGTAAAATTAATTGGACAATTATAAAAATTTTGCAAATTCCTTTAATGGAACATTTCTTTTTTGATAGCATCTTCAAAATGCTACCATATATATGATAAAAAATATCAGAACATTCATTTATTATGTACCGGAGTAACTTTTGTCCTGATATTCTTCACCTCAGATTTCTCCTCTTGTGGCCCAGCCCAACCATGATTTGGAGAATTCAAAATACTTAGTTTACATTACCTCAAGATGCTTCAACATAATTTTAAGCTTTTCTGGACAAGTGACTCTTGAGAAAAAGATTTTACCTATATTTCAATGTAAAAATTGAATACCATATTGTAACCCGCTCTACCGACGAGGTAATGATTTGTATGATTTAGAATCTAAACTACCCAAAGATGCTACAACGCAAGTTTTAGCTTTTCTGACCCAGTGGTCCTTATGAGAAAGATTTTAAATGACCCCATCCTATTTCTGTCTTTTCTCGATTATCTCCCCTTGTAAGGCTAGTCTCTTCATTTTAATAATATAAACTCTCCTTTACCCAACCATGCTTTGTACCAATATTGGTTAAAATTGCTCCATGCAGTGGTTTCCAGATGGACTGACAGA